GTTTAACACTGAGGTAAACCCAACCCTGAAATTTGTGTTAAGGGCCAGGAGACAAGAGGACTCATTGCTTTGAGTCAGAATGATGGGCTGTGATGGGACCTGAGATAGATGGGGGTAACTGACTTTTGTGGGTAAGGAAGTGAGAAAATCAAATCATTTTAAGAAATTAACATTTAAGCTTGGACCTGGAGAACGGAAAACAGCCAGCTGAGGGACGTGTCTCATGAGTACAGGAACGTGGCACCAGCTGAGGGTGGCCACAGGCCAGATGGCACAGGGCCTTGTGGGCTATGGCGCTAAGTGCAGTTCTAAGTGCCACGAGAAGCAATTGGAGTGTTTTAATCAAAGGAGCGACATGATTTTATTTGAGGTTGAGACTTCCATCCGTTCACCAAAATCCACTCATCTCCCCTCCCTGGTATACAGCAGACTGGTTTCCTGGCCTCTTTGCAGTCCGCTGTGAGCTGTAGAACCAGACCCTGCCCATGGAGGTTGGTGGAAATGGCAAATCCCACGGCCAGGGCTGGCTCATAAAAGGCTCCGACTGGACATCCTCATGCTGCTTTCCCTCCCGAGTGGGCAAACTGGGAAGCTTGTTTTTGAGGTGACAGAGCCGCTGTCCACCTGCATGGACATCCAGCCTGGGAGTGTCCCACACCTTGGTGCGGGTGGGACAGAAGCACCTGGTGCTTTGAGCCTCGACTTGCTGAGTCCACTTGTTGGCACATTCTAGTCTGTCCAAACTAGAAGATGACTTGAAAAGGAGTGTGGCTGCCGTGCTGGGTGAAGATGTGAGGCAGTGTGAACACAGCAGTGCTGAGGTGAAGGTTTCCTATGATGCGGACTTGAAGCATTTCAGCTGGAATTAATACTGGATAATTTTGGGGAAAAAGCAACATCTCCCACTGATGATCTGCAGTGTATGGGGAGATAGTGGAGGGAAACATAGTCTTATGGATTTGACTATCAACTGCCATGTCAATTACTTTCTGGAATTTCCACAACATACCTCACTGAATACCTTCAGGCTTGTATTTTTTGTATTTGACAAGATTTAATCAAATGAGGACAAAGGAATTATATCTCTGACAATTTGTTTTCTATGGTGTCTACTCAATGCTTCATATATATATAAAGTTTTCCATTAAACTTAATGTGGGCATGTTCCCTACTATTTATTCATTTTTCTGTCCATGGAACTACTGGAGGTCACTGTATCACCTTTGCCTGGTCACTAATGTCATCTCACCCTGACTTAAATGTTCTTGCTTTCTAAGTGAGATGCTTAGTTGTGTTAAATTTTATTTTGCTGGTGGCCTAGTGGGGGAAAGTAATACCATGGGACCTGGAATTTGAATGTTTGCCACAGAAGATGTGGAGAAATGTTTCAGGGGGGTGCATGTGGGCTAGTCTAGCCTGCCATCCCGATCTCCTTCAAACCCTCTGCCCATTGCTCAGAGCTGCTGACTGCTTCAGGGTGCTATTTCTGCCGGTCAGACCCTCAGCTGGGAGCACCATCATGGTCTAAGGAAAGAGTCTCTGCAGGCCCAATGAACAGGGTGGGGTGTGTGCGCCTCTGCAAAGATGAGGAAGGTGGAAGTGACGGAGGGCGTGCTGGTGGGAACAGGAAGGTGAAAGGAGTGTGGGAGACTGCACGGAGCATGGTGACTCAGTAGATCTCTGTGGGGGATGGCAGGGAGTGTGGTGACCCAGTAGATCACCGTGGGAGATGGCTTGGAGTGTGGTGACCCAGTAGGTCACTGTGGGGGACGGCACGGAGCGTGGTGACCCGGTAGGTCACTGTGGGGGATGGCACGAAGTATGGTGACCCGGTAGGTCACTGTGAGAGATGGCACGGAGCATGGCGACCCGGTAGATCACTGTGGGGGATGGCAGGGAGCATGGCGACCTGGTAGATCTCTGTGGGAGACAGCACGGAGCGTGGTGACTCAGTAGATCTCTGTGGGGGACGGCATGCAGCGTGGTGACTCAGTAGATCTCTGTGGGGGATGGCACGGAACATGGAGACCCAGTAGATCACCGTGGGAAATGGCCCAGAGCGTGGTGACTCAGTAGATCACTGTGGGAGATGGCACAGGGCATGGCGACCCAGTAGATCACCGTGGGAGACGGCATGGAGAGTGGTGACTCAGTAGATCTGGTGCAAAGAAAAGACCAGAAGAAAGAGGAGCATGGAAACTCTGCCCCTGGTGAACTTCAGCTCATAAACTGATATAGCAACAGACTTATGTTTCTAAGATAAAGCCAGCGCATGCCTCCTGCTGTGAACAGAGGGTATTAGTGATGGCCCTGGACTCTTTAACCTGTTCTGTGTTTACTGTGTGTGTGCCCAGTTGGATGTTTTTAATGGACATTATGAATCCATCCATGCCCAAGAAGGGAAAAAGCCAGGAGTATTGAAAATACCAGTAATAAGAAATATGTGAATATGACATAATGTTGAAGAAATTAAAAGGAAAATTGCAAAACATGAGAAAACATTGGAAATAGTATTTGTAGAGGAGAAGAATCCATTGACATTGAACAGCTTTGAAGAGGGAAGAATTAATCATTCCACTTATGAAAAATACTGGGTATTTTCACAGTACAGGAGTAGATAAAAGTTGCCAGATGAGGAAAAAAAAAAAAAAACACCTACGCGTAGCAGTGTCTGTCTGGAAGGTCTGCGTCTCTGCTCAAGGACCACTGGTGAAGGGTAGGAGTTGTTCCAGAAGGTAAGGACCAAGAACGGTGGGGTTGCTTTGGTGATGTTCTCCTGCAAGATGCGGCTCCATAGTTTCCAGGGCAGTCTGTGTGTGCACAGGATGAAGTGGGTAGAGATGTGGCACCAGAGCTGCCGCAGCTTGCAGGAGTCCCAGGTGGAGTATCCAGGGGAAGAAGGTGGAGAGCCTTGTCTGGCGGCAGCAGTCAGAAAAGAAGAGGGGCCAGAACTGCCCGAAACGGGACAGCTGCGTTCAAAGCGTCCTAGCTGGAAGCACCTGCTCTGGGTGGGGGGGCGCCTCCCTTTCATGACTCCATGATGGCAGAAAAACATGAAACTTACTAAATGCAGAATATAAATGTCTTAACACAATAACTAAGAAAATGTCGTGAAGGCTATGTAACCAGTTTGATGAAAATATTTCAAATTGTATATAAAACTAGCACATTGTACCCCATGACTGCATTAATGTACACAGTGATGATTTAATAAAAAAGAAACATCAGACTGATAGTTAGAAGGGTAAGAAACACTCTCTTGACTATAATCCATGAGAGACAATGACCTTATAGGTGAAAATATAGAAGAAGTTAAAGAACTCAGGAAAAAAATAAGACCTCTAAATCTCTTACATGTTTTCAAAATAATTACGATTCCTACACTAATTATTTATTCAATTTTGCTTTCAAATGAATATGTTAACAGTTAAACAAATGCTACATATTATTATATGAACTTTAAAGGATAAACGTGACTGAAGCTACCCGATGTATGTGGAGTTAGTGCTCAAGGAAGGACGCAGTTCAGACAAACCATCATTGGTCCTGAGCTGTAGTACTGGGTACAGCCCTGGTGTTTTCTAAATAATCAAAGGATGAAAGAAAGTCAGAAAAAAACAATAGAGAGATAGAAAGAATTGGATCAAATTCCAGATGGATGGAATAGGATAGGGTTTTTAGTGTGAAAGGAAGAAAAAAATATATATGTATAATGTATTATATATGTGTATAATATATATATTATGAAGTTAGATTAAGCAAGGACAAATATGAGTTAGTTCTTCAAATTAATAAATATTATAAATGTGAGGTTTCCACAGCATGTTAAAGAGGCTATTTAAAGACAGAAATAACTGAGCATAGCACAGAACTCCTCCGAGACATGCCACAGTGTTAGGGGAAGGAGATGTATTTTAAAAAAGCAAACTTATGATGCATGGACAGCAGCTCCACCATGGTCATTGTGGGAAATTAGGTATCTTTTTTATCTCAGATTAATATAAATGTTCATACTATTAGGTTACATTGTTTGCATTTGTAAGGCAATGTCCGAGTTGTATTTTGAGCCTCTCACCCAGGAGGTGAGCCACACACCCCTACAATGTGCCCGTTAGCCGGGGCTTACTGAGGTTTCCCCTTCCCCATTCTGGAATTTGAAATGTGTTTTTCTCTCATGTAGGTCTGTAGTTGTTCATCTACTGGTTTCAAACTAGTATTGAGTACCTGGGAGGCTTGTTTTTCCATCCTTGAGATGGAAGAATAAGGAGAATGTTACTAAGGAGAATGTTCTCCAGTTCCATCCAGGTTAATACAAAAGCTGTAAAGTCTTCATCTTTCTCACGGCTGAATGGTACTCCAGGTGTACATACCCCACAGTTTGTTAATCATTCATGGGTAGATGGGCACTTAGGTTGTTTCCACATCTTTGTGATTATGAACTGAGCTGCTGTAAACATTCAAGTGCAAATGTCCTGATGGTAAAATGATTCTTTTCCCTCTGGGTAGATGCCTACTACTGGGATTTCAGGATCAAATGGAAGGTCTACTTTTAGATCTTTGAGCATTCTCCAGACTTCTTTCTGAAGAGCCTGTATTATAGAAGTTTTGAGGATTCTCTAGACTTTCTCCCCCAAATGGTGTTGTTAGAGATGTTTGGGAGCTTCTGTGTCCCACAGAATTCCTTCTAGAGATAAAATACCAAGTGGAATGTGCAAATGCCCTTCTTCTGCAGTCTGATGAAATGTGTACCCTGAATGACTTCCTCATTCAGACCTGTGTAAATTTTGCTTCCTACCTTATATGAACTTTGTAAATCCCTATTATATATGAAATTTTATCTGGTGTAAATTATGGTTAGCCATTTTAAATAGAGAGCCAAATGTAGAAAGATAAAGTATTAGTTTTCACAAATTATATTCTTGCAATTTAAAAAGAAGTGCTCATGAGCTGAAGGTGATAGACACATGTTTTTAAACTAATCCTTTTTATGCTTAATCTAGGCTGGAATGATAAAAAGTGATAATGAAGAGTATTTCATTGAACCCTTGGAAAAAGGTAAACAGATGGAGGAAGAAAAAGGAAGGATTCACGTTGTCTACAAGAGGTCGGCAGTGGAGCGGGCCCCTGTCGACATGTCCAGAGACTACCACTACCCAGGTAGGTGTCTGTGACAAAGCTTAATGATGCAATATAGTTTTAGATGTTATGAAAACAACTCTCCCAGGAATTGAGAGAATGTGATTGTCGTGTGCTCTTGTATTATGTGGAGACAGCAAAAGCCTTGGTATTTGTAAACCATGGAGTACAGCTGCCTTTTAAACCTGCCCAGAGAAGTTCTGTGCTCTTGGTATCATTTCACCCCAGTGTGTCTTACGGCCTTGATGTGTCTGTTATTTATGATTTATTTTATGAAAACTTTTAAAAGTTTTACTTTAAAACTGTCTTTTCTCTAGTTTATGTTAAAATTTGGAAATACATATATTTGTGCTTTCCAGAAGTATCTAATTTATGCATTATTAATGTTATTTTAAAACTGTTAAAATAAGATACATTGGCATAACAAGGAGTTGCATTTTGTTGTAAGACCCGTGAGATGGATTTGTTTGGAAATAATTATCCTATTTCACTTTAAAGTCTGTTTTGCAAAACTTTTTTTCTCCATGGAGGAGACAATGAGTCAAATCCTTCCACTGAATTTTATTTCAAAGTCAGTGAGAGTAAAGTCAAGGTATGGCACGTGAACGTTTCCTATTTTTGAGCGTTTGTCTCAATGGAACCTGAAAAGAACTTGGTATGAAGGAGATATGCTTGTAAATTAAAGAGAGAAATTGTCCTCAGAGAAGAAAGGAAACTTAGGAATCTCTATGATTGGCCAAATCTCAGAAAGTCTGTGTTACTTTTGCCAGGACAACTTCTTAATGAAGAATAAGGACATTTCTCTGTGGGAAATGCCAGGGCTGTAAATAGTGTTCTCTGGCGATCATCTGTCTTCTGTGTAGCCTTTCAAGAGTTGCTACCTAGTCATTAGCTTGGTTTTCAGATGTTGCCCCTTCCCTTAATATCCTGTACTAGTGGGATAGTATAATTGAGGATAAGTTTAGAGTTGATACAGCCTGAACCTTTTTGAGGACTTTCTGTGTTGGAACAACAGGACTGTATTAGTAAATATGGCCATATGAGATGTGTGCCTGGCTTACACAGTGTGGACCAACACAGGGCAGTGAGCTTCTCAGTTACAACCTATATGAATAATAACTCAACAGCAATTTGCCCCCTCATCTTAGATTAGGACTTGGCCTTAGTACTTAATTCTTTACCTGTGAAAAAAAAAAAAAAGACATTGTGGGTGGTACCTGTGGCTCAAAGGAGTAGGCACCAGCCCCATATGCCGGAGGTGGCGGGTTCAAACCCAGCTCCAGCCAAAAACTGCAAAAAAAAAAAGAAAAGAAAAAGAAAAAAAGACATTATACCATTGCATCAAGTATTGGACATAACACAAATTGTTGAGTATAACATTCAACAGCAGTAGGTGCGTAGGGAAGGCTCGCTGGCGTTATCTCATAGCTGTTAATAATTAAGTATCTGGCAAAAGGTTTGCGCATTGAGAGTTTTGTGAACGTCAAATAGTCAGATGTTATTTGTCTTCAGGTTGTGCCTATGTGAATCTTATTCTCCATTGAGTTTTCATATTCTAAAAATGTCATGAAATGAGAAGACTAGTTATGTCAAAGAATAAATAGTACAACACTGCTTTTTCTGAAGGTCCCAGTTGCTGCATATTATTAATATGTAATATTTTTCAGAGCAATGGCTAAATATATTTCAGAAAAGCACATGTTATCGGATTGTCTGGGGCAACTGGAAGTCAGGTCAGCTGTGTGACTGTCCTCCCATTCATCTCATCTGTCATGAGTGTAGTTTCAGCAAGCTGTTTCCTGTTAGTATACTTCCGTCCCTGAAGGCATCTGTTTCTATAAATATTAGCTTGGTATTTACAGAAAGGAGAGATATTTTTCTTGAAATGTTGTAATATTTATTGTGTTTTTGATGATAGAATAGGAAAAGTAGCTTAGTAGTCAGAATATGTACATTTAAGTGAGTTGGATAGGATTAGGGAAATTTGGAACATTTTTTAAAGAAAATTATTCAAAATATCAGTTCTAGTAGCACCAACACTAACTCACTCAGTTTACAATAAGAGTTGTTTCAAGAATGCAGACATGGCCGAGTGTTTATTTCGTCTTTAGTCATGAATAGAAGTGTACCTTCTCAGAGGAGTGGGCCGCAAGTTACGGTAATGCATTGTGGAAAGTTTTCAGTGATCCTGGGTCAAAGCAAGGGAATTCTTTTAATTCTCAATCTTTTAAATTTTGAAGCAAAGTAAAACCATTCACTTCTCTAAGAATGCTCCATGATAAACCTTAATATGAACCTACTGACTTTCATTTTATTATTTATGATGTTCTGATTGAATTGAGTTGTGGGTAATATCAATTACCTTCTTCGAAAATCTTAAAATGTAACCATATATGTTGGAAGTGTAATTCTCTTCCCTGGGGTAGAAAGTAATTTAGAGTTACAACTCTTAAGTACCACGCTGTAGCTTTTAAATTACTCCAACTTCTTGGTCACAGAACTGAGAGCCAAGCTTTCTCACAGACGAAGTACCTTCCAAGTATAAATTAAGAATATCCTTTTATGTATTTCATCATTCTAAAATGTAAAATCAAACAAATTCTAAGTTAGAAAAGTATATTGATGTCTAAATGAAAACTAAAGTACCATATAACATAGTACTTTTTCTGGATCACTTTAAGATGTTATTTTAGGAGACATGTGATTTTTTTTTAATGAGTTATAGGCAGAGGAGTAAAATGCATAGGCTAATACTTAGAAAGAAATGTGTTTGAGAGCCACGGTCTTCATAAATTTCTCTGACAGCAGCAGTCCTCAGGGGTGTTCTGATCTCGGCAAGCTGTTCTGGCCCAGCGGGGTTCCGTCGGGGGGCCTGTCAATGCTCTGCCGTGTTGTGTAGTTGTCACAGTGATTGCCTGGATGTAGTTCTTGGCTTTGGCAGTTCAGCTCCCCAGAATTGAGTTTTGTAGTTTGCTGCAAGAGCTCTACGTTAAAATTAGTTAGGACCTAGGCTGGGTGAGTAGCAGTGAGATGGAGAGATGTAGCTCAATTGGAAAGAAATCAGATCTGATCTAGAAGACTAGAAAATTATCTTTCCCGAATCCAGAAATATAAAGTGAGAAACAGAAATAGGCTTGGTGAAGGATGGCAAGTGGGTGCAATTCTGGATAGATAAAGTTAGAAGATCCATTGAAATAGTGAATTAAAAATACATAGAGTATTCTCCTAGTCATGCCCCTAGTTAATGCATGTTGCAGTAGGGACGGGGAGGGGGGGAGATAATTAGCTCAGGAGTGAGGGGGCAGGTGCTGGCTTCTGGACAGTTGGCATGTCTCTGCCTGCCCTCAGCGCTCTCATTCCCACCTGTGTTACTGAGGATCAGAAGGTGGACATCGCACAGAACTGGGAGCCCATGAACGATATTTGCTGTAGGTGAGGCAGACAGTATGTCCTTAAAAAGTAAAACTAAACCCAGAAATGAAAACAAAATCATGTTTTCACCACCCTTTGAGAACCCTCAAGTGTTCTACTCGATCAAATGCAAACATCTATTTCTTTTCTCTGTGCCCTAAAAATATCCATTCGAGTTTTCAGCAAAAGTCACAGCTTTGAAACTGTTGAGATGATGTGTCATGTGGTTCAGACGAAACCCCCAGTCGGTCCACGGAGAGTAGATCCCCTTTCCTTGACTCTTCATGGAGAGGTTGCATTGTTTTTTGTAATGTGGAGAAATAGGAAGAGCTCTTTTAAAATATATTGAACTAAACAGTGAAATCGCAGACGCAGTGCTGCGCCTCATGATTACTCTTTTAAGAATAAGACCTAGAGCAGCTGTGTACTTCGCAGTGTAGATCATGGTGTCTTCTAGTGCAGAGCTGGCGGTGCTCACAGCGCAGAGC